GATTGACATGTTTTTGGTGTCATTGGAAAGAGCGTAATGTGAAGTTGTGCAGGAAACTTTCTTTTTAGGGAATAATTAAGGAGTGAGCCCCTGGGGTCCTTAAGTTTCCTATTTCTCCATAAGATTAACATGGGAAATAAACATTGTTATGAAACTCCAGCTGTTGTCAGAAATTAAAAGTGAGAGGAAGAACGTATGTTAATTCGTTAATTGTAAACATTCAATGTGTAAATTATCTAGAAGATTAACATGGACAACCTAATGTGGCTGGCTATAAGTGGGAAACATTTTTTTTTACACTAAAAATAAGATCTGCTTTTTAAAAATGATAAGATATTTACAATAAATGTTGATTACATTAACCTGTTATGAACATCGTGAGTATTTCCATTAGTTAAATAATAAATAATCATTGAGTAGTTTGAGTTGACTCTTAAACTCTTAAACGCATCGGAAATTATGACCGTCATTCGTTTTGAAGCAAATCCTACAATACTTTGCAATTGCTCGATTTCCAGCCACATGTACACTAGTTTAAACAAAGTGGAACGATTGACTTTTGAAACTGGCATAGAAGTCTCATCTACAATGAATAGTTGTGGCAATTTTTTCCCCTAAAAAAACCTAATTGAATGAGTATGCTACAGTCTATAATACTACTTTCTCTCTTATATTTATCACACCTATATTTGTTCACAAAAGATGTTATAGCTTGAAATAAGTTGTCCTTTCAGTGTGGTTTGGTTGAAACATGCCGTATTTTACTCGTATTTACACCAGCGAACTGTCAGTGGCTCAATGTTAAACTTAAGACTCAGAAAAAATGCAGATAGCCCAGCTATTATTGTTTTTAGTGTCTTCTGAGTACACTATAGTGTCTATTTGGAACCTTTCTAAGAAAAGCTAGCTGCAATCCATTTATTCTAAAAATCACAACCATTTTCAAAACAATATATGTGTATTCAGTAATTCGCAGGGTTTTAGTGGACAAGATGTTGAATAAAACTGCAACAAAAATCTCTAAGTTTTCTATGTCACTCACCGGAGGTTCTTCCCAGTGGCTGGGCCACCTCGCCAGGCAGTCGCTACACGAGGTGTACTGCTCACATGTGCGCTGCGCCAGGAACTCTCGGCTGCACATGACACCGTTGTTGGTCTTGTGAGTGCCCTGCAGGCCGCGGCAGGGGTCGTTGAGTGCACCACGTGAGTTGCTGTAGCAGTAACTTGTAGAGTTGCCGGCCTCACTGATTACCGCACAGTATGAGCATCCGAGAAACGACCTTGATGAAACAGACAACTTGTGATAAACACGTCGTCAGTCTATGTACAATTAAACACATTTAGTACTAATACACATTAAGATACTGAAGTAGTCATCCAATTTATATTTAACATTTGAAACCAAATGTTTGCGACATAAGAAAACAGTTACTATCTCACAGAGTTTCCTACAATCTGGTAGTAAGTTTCATCACTAGGGTCTTAAGTGATTCTTTTTGACCCCGAGGTCAAGTTTTACAAGTTAGGAAAATGTAGTCAAGTTAGGAAAATGAGCGAGGATTAACAAGCCACTTTTTACCCGTATGGTGAACTATATTTTTTGTCATATTGCACCATTAATTAACAAACAAAGCTAGAAAACAAAATATTTTTTTTTTTAGATAACCTCTCAAAACGGCTTGTTTTCACTGCTAATGTAAATAAGCAGCTGTTAAGTAAGTGATTCAATTCTTTCGTCCATTACAATTATTGTGTTACACAGTACATTATACCATCGATATGTCGAGCGATCGACAACAATAGGCTAATACCTGACCTAATACATCAATCGATAAAACTTTTTGTTCGATATGACTGCCACAATTAAAATTTACAACAGCTGACTTTTACTCCCTTGAGACTAAAAGTGATTTTTACTCCCTAGAGAGTAAAAATGCTACTTTAGACCCGCGACGTATGCATTAAAAACGGCTGTTTTTGCTGCAGTATGACAAAAAGTTATATGTTCCCTCTCAGATGTTACTGTGATAGTTATGAACATTGTCATACACGTACTAGAAAAGACATTTAATGGAGGCTACCGTTACCTGAACAGCACTGTTGCAGAGTAGTGTCAGCGGCCCGAACTACCACAATTCGGGCATGTCGGTAAGTCTGTTTCGTTTTTATTTTTTTTCTTTAATGTAGGTTGTAGAATGTCGTTTTTGTTGACTCAAGCAGCCCAAACTACTTTGCCAAAATCGGTAAACTATTAGCATTAACATTAGGTGTCCCCTCTTTTACGTGTATACTCAATGTTATGACATAAAAGACACTACAGCTCACAATAGGTTCTTTGAATTAGGTTTAGTTAAACATTTGGCGAACTGAACAGATGATCAGTAATTGAATCCACAACAGCGCACTCTTTAAATGCTAACTCACCCTTTAATTAATTAAATTCTTAAACTGACCACAATTTCAACAAGAGAGTTTATACACTCACCAGCAAATTAAACGTTTCCACAGGTACAAAACTATCAAAACCCACCTGCATTTGTCCTTGTTGGTCCACAGTCTACACAGGTCGGCTGGAAGGTTTATTCTGGTGACGTGACTCTGCACACCCCCCGTGAACCCTCCCATCACGTACACCACTGTAGTGTTGGACGACTCAGGGTCTAGTGTCATGGCATGGGCGTATGTAGACGGAGGCGGACTGCCAACACTCAGCACATCTGCGGACAAAGCGAAGCTGTAGAGGGGCTGATTCTGATTTTTAACTACTCAAAATCTTCAGTACCGATGATAAAGGGGAGTAATCGATTAAACTTTATGACTTGGGTTCTCTACTGATTCCAGAATTAATTTTGATCATGAGAAAATTATTATTATTATTGTGGTCACGCTAAATTTGTGAACTATTGATGGTGCAATTGGTGAATTTTAAAAGACTCTGTAATTAAGATAATACCACATGATTCCTGCCTCATTAAACTAAGGTTAAAAATTTTAAAGCTTAAGCGTAAACTGAAAGGGAATGGACTAACTCAACTATTCCCACATGAAAGAAAATACAAAATTTGATAATCAACACACATGCACAATTACAGCATAATGTTGAGGTGGTTTATACTACTGGTTTTATTACCAAGTATTGTCACATTTGCAATATGCTAGTCTCACACTTGACAATTTCAATTAACAGACCTTTGGAGAGCAGCCTGATCCACTGGTTGCAGGCGTAGGAGTAGGCGATGAGAGAGTCGTGGGTGGTGGGAGTGATGCTGCGACCTCCGAACACCAACATGTACTCATCTGTAGACACTGCTGTGTGTAGTAGTCTGGGCTGGGGCTGGCAACAAACAGAAACACTCAAATGAGTGAGATAATAATAGAAACCAGCTTAACTAGCTCGCTCCCAAATAAAATATAAGGGACTTGCCTAGTTATACAATACAATACAATACAAATCATCTTTATTCATCAAGTATTTTACAGCAAATACATGAACTGCGTCACAGAAAGGAAAAGATAAGTTAACTTGTTGGAAGCGGCATACATTCAAACAGGCGCTCGCCAATGGCGGCGAGGCCATGGCGGAGCCCCGGCACGGCACCGAAACAGCAAACGCAATAGGCATTCAAATATTTCAATCTGACAAATAACAAAAGAGCAGAGGTGATTGTACCGGGTTACCCCGAGAGTGGACTTAGTTCACTGAAACACCCAAAGGTAGCAGCACTGCCTGGATCAGTAGCCAGTGTCTTTGTAATGTGGCTTAAAGAGAGAAAATCCCCGAAACAGGGACAAAAGCATTGTCAGATGGGATTTTACGGGAAATTTTAGTACCAACCTACACCAAAATAAAGCTCACATTCTAAGCTACAGGCTAGCAACTATTATAACGTTCCCGGCAATGGCTGAGTTCATACTGAACTAATGTAGTGGGGGTGGGGCGACTACATCTGTTGATGTAGGCCGGTAGAAGCGCTTGTGACGTACTATCAATTGATATAACCCGCAATGAACATGTTAATGTACATTGTTCAAATACATTTTGATACAATAACTCAAGATTAAATGTAATTAGTTTACTATTTCTGAACTTCACCATGGATTTTTGATACTGCAAACTTTCTAACTAAATCTATTGTGTAGTTATGTGCGCTGATGTTGACTACATTCTTTACTCTTATTTTAGTGAAAACACTGGAGAACTCTAACTCTTATGTCACTTAACTGGAATTTTAAATCTTAAGTCTGTAAAAACAGTACAGGACAAAAAGTAGTATACAAAAAAATCTTTCCATAAGATTAAAATAAATTCAAGTATGAAATGAGAAACAAATACCGTAGTAAAAATCAAAACGCACTTAAATATAACAATATACTTAACAGTAACATTCTTCAAAATTGTTTACAGCTGATCCTTAAAGTTGACAAACCAAAGGAAGTGAGTTTTAACTCACCAGTTGCATCCTGGGAGGGTTGTACTCCTCGAAGGTTGGTAGGACTGACCAGGTCTGCGACGGGTAGTGGAAGGTGTACAGCTTGTTGGAAATGAACGTTCGATTGACGGAATACATGTAACCCCCGAACACGTAAAAACTGGACGTAGGAGCATGGTATACTGTACTGTGGCCGTACACACCTGCAGGAATTATTCACAGATGTTGTTTTAGGTACAAGAAAATCATAACCTCCACACAAATTGTGAATTATTTTATTTCTTTCACTATCTGTACTTTCCTAAGTATTTTATGATGTCTGTAAATTAATAAATGCCTAATTGGCTTATCTGAGAAAATTAAAATTAATTGTTTACATACACAACTTTACAAACACAACATTGAAATTCCACAAAAGAGGATTTAAAATTAAATAGTATTACGTTTAATCTCAAACTTGTCTTAATTAAGTGACTGGAGACAAAATGTATTGTTCAGATTGAACTAGCACATGTCACCACTTATTTAGCAAGAAAATAATTGCTTATTTTAAAATTTTAGTTATTATTAGCCATCTTTGTTCACGTTAAAAAATTAAATTGAAACCAAACTTTAATCAGCATTGAATAAATACTCAACTCACTGAATAGTTATTAAATAATGCAAGCCTTATGGACACTACAGGGTGTCCGGTGATAAGTGTTAAATAAAATTTTGCATTAAACTAAATGGTAATGGTGACAGAATGTCGCAAATTTTAGGTTCCCAACTTCAACAGTTAGAGAATAACAAATAAATTAAGATTTTTCAAAAATTATTGTAGTTGTTATGAAAAAGGTTATTTTACTCTGTTAAAAATGCACTTACCGTCAACTTCAATGACATTTTCAGAATCCTCACAAAATTTTAAATAAATATAACACATAATCGTTGGGGTACGTAAAAATATTCTATTTAAAATTCTTCGTTAAACAAATTATTTTTATATTGACGAAAATGTAAATAACATTCAGCAGTTTATTTCTCGGTTGTTGAGTTCCGGCGAGGTTATCAAATATGACTAAAAACTTCCTTATTTAAAGGGCTTTACAATGGTGTATAATAGTTTTTACCGAATTTCAAATTTCCTAATGTAATTCGATCATTATTGTGAAAAAACATGGTAGGGCAAAGAAAATCTATTGTGAAGAATAATACATTTAAGTGCAGGCAACAAATAATTTGTATTTCTTTCTCGCATGCAACGCTTTGTTTATAACTACCCAGCTAAGAAAAGAAACATAGTAGTAAAATGTGTTTGTGATAAAGTTACGGTTATCGTATAGTTTTCATATAAGATTTAAATTATCTCCCGGAATTTCTATTTTGTTGAATGGATTTAGTCAATAGATTCAGGTATTTTACTGATAACAATACTTTATCCAAGCGATAAGAAAACAAAGCGAACCAGTAGTCATATTTTAAAACGATCTATCAGTCACATGTGGACAGTGATCGGTCAACTATGTCTTTTTCGATTCGGGAGTATGTTGAAATGCATTTTATTTATGGTTTGTGTAACGGCAACGCGTCGGCTGCTCAGAGAGAGTACCAGAATCGGTATCCTGATCGCACCACCCCCAGTACTCAGGTGTTTACTAGAGTGCATCAACGTTTGCTGGAAACAGGATCGGTTGAGAAGAAGAAGAAAGAAGTAGGACCTGTGCATGATGTTGCAGCTGAAGAGGGTGTAATTCAGAGAGTTATGGATAATCCTACTACTAGTGTTAGGCAGCTTGCCCTTGAAACTAGTATGTCCCGGTGGAAAGTACATAAAGTGTTGAAGGACAATAACTTCCATCCGTATCATTTTACAAAGGTCCAAGGATTGGAGCCTCGTGACTTCGAATCCAGAAAGGAGTTCTGCCGCTGGCTTCTTCAACGTGATATTGTTGAATATCACTTCCTTAAAAAAATACTATGGACTGACGAATCCCGTTTTACCAGAGAAGGTGTGATAAATATTCACAATATGCATCTTTGGAATAATGAAAATCCAAAAGCCTCCAGAGAAGCTTCTTTTCAAAAAAGGTTTGGGATCAACGTGTGGGCAGGTGTGATTGGAGATCGGTTAATTGGTCCTCATATCTTCGAAGGAAATCTGAACGGTGATTTATATCTAGATTTTCTTCAGCACTCTCTACCTCAGTTGTTGGATGAAATTGATCCTCAACAAAGAGCTGAAATCATATTTCAGCAGGATGGTGCTCCACCACATTTTACTGAAAGCGTTCGGTTGTGGCTATCCCAAAACTACCCGACATGGATTGGACGTGGAGGAAGTGTGACATGGCCTCCTCGATCTCCAGACTTGAGCCCGTTAGATTTTTTTGTTTGGGGTTACATGAAAAGTCTAGTTTACTCAACTGTTGTAAACTCTGAAGTTGAGTTACGGGAGAGAATCTTTGAGGCTGCTGGGAAAGTAAGGGAAAAATTGACGTATGAGGTCACAGTTGGCGCAATCCGCAAAAGAGCTAGGGCCTGCTTGCGGAAAAACGGTGGGCACTTTACACCCAAACTGTGATTTGTGCTTCGGACAAAGTGTGTCATTGATTTGTTTAATGGGTTAACTATCATTTCATATTTAAAATGTAGTGTGTATTATGTTTTTTACTAATGTGTTGTGTTTTTTAATTACAAATTTTCCAAAGTCTTAAAAAAACTCTTTAGTTTGATGGAAGTGTAGTCTGGTCAATCATAAATTATACATACCCTCATCATCAGTGGTCAGCTCATAAAATAGTAAGTAAAATTTTATTATTTTTTACAATATCTGTTTTGGCTTGACCGTGATTTTTCACAATAGTGCGTAAAATTCACCATGGATTTGACAGTAGGTAAATGTTGTTATACATCATTGTAAAGCCCTTTAAATAAGGAAGTTTTTAGTCATATTTGATAACCTATCCGGAACTCAACAACCGAGAAATAAACTGCTGAATGTTATTTACATTTTCGTCGATATAAAAATAATTTGTTTAACGAAGAATTTTAAATAGAATATTTTTACGTACCCCAACGATTATGTGTTATATTTATTTAAAATTTTGTGAGGATTCTGAAAATGACATTGAAACTGACAGTAAGTGCATGCATTTTTAACAGAGTAAAATAACCTTTTTCATAACAACTACAATAATTTTTGAAAAATCTTAATTTATTTGTTATTCTCTAACTGTTGAAGTTGGGAACCTCAAATTTGCGACATTCTGTCACCAAATGTATGTAGTTAATGTTTGTATGTAGTTTAATGCAAAATTTTATTTAACACTTATGACCGGACACCCTGTATAGTATTCTGCATTTTGTTCAGTTCACCAGATGAGTGATATTATTCTAAATATTACTAATTCTAGTTGTTATACTAGAGTAAAACAATCTGGGATGGATTTGGAAATTAAGGTACCAGAAGAGGTACCTTTTTTTTTTGAAGACAGCTTTTAAAGGGATGATAGAAAAAGACAATTTTGACATGTGAGAGGAAATAGAGTTGATGGAGATGAAAGGAAGGAGATTGGAGTAGACCTAGAAATTGGATTGAATATGTGAAGAGGGATAGGAGAAGAGAGGAGTCAGATGGTAGGGAATGAGATTAAAGTCTTGAGTCTGGCAGCTCAACTGGAATCTTAAAGATAGAGGAGTCTAGTCAGCATCCCGATTCAGAATTAACTAGGATGTACCTAAATATGTGGAAGGTGAGAAGATATGAGTGAACACTAACCAAGAGGTCCGTAGCCGAAGGTTTCCAACTCAGTCCAAGTTTCAGTAGTCAGGTCAAACTCCCACACATGGTGTAAGAATCCATGGTCTGGACTGAAGCCCCCGATCAGCAGCAGACTCTCTGTCTCAGTGCCCCGACGCAATGTCAGTGTATGCCCCGCCAAAGGTGGGGGGGACAGCGCTGTCTGTGATGTCTGTGACAAAGCCATTCACTTTCACTAAACAGGCAGTTGTGTAACTTAATGTACACCAATCTATGTTAGTATATCATGTTAGGGTAATGTATGTCAAATTAACCTTAATGTATGTGTATGTGTATGTGTCCTGACTACATGAAGGAGAGTTTTATCAAATTATTTTCTGATGCAAATAAAAGAAAGAAACTTTGTAATTAGAAGAAGTAGAGCTATTTAAGAGGTCACAAATTATTATTCTTCACCTCTATATTCAGTTTTGAAACACTTTGAGAACTGCGGTCCCTCTGGTTTGGCTCATTTAAATCGGGAAATTCTTTTAGTTGAGAAAATAGTTGTGTATCTTTCCATTCTTTCTTAATGTATTCCTAAGCCAATTGCTATTTCTTCCAAAATTTTTTTCCTAAAAAGCAGACAGCATTTATTTAAACTCAAACTATTTCAGTTGTTTGTGAAACCAATTCGTTCTTTTAGCAAACATCTGTCCCGATAGCTCTATGTTTTTTAAATGTACGTTTATTGCTCATGAGGATTAAAAGGGATATTTATAAGATCTTCTAGGAAGAACCTGACGATTTATGTTCTTCAATAAAATTAATTAGTAACTACACATATTCAGGTAGTTGATTGATGCAATTAATCAAACATTGGTCAATTTTTTACACATGTAGAGAATAACCACACACATTTAAAGGTAGCTACCAAGCAAAGATTTTTATCTGTATTTTTTAACTGCAGAAGGGACCATTTGTCACCTGTATATCTATCCAACGTTGGTTCTTCAGGCTGAACTTCCAGAAGTCGCTGAGCGTGCTGTTAGCTCCGGCAGCCATGGTCAGTTTCTGAGTCAGCCCTCCGTAGACAAAGATCTCCCGCTTGGAGTGAACTATCTCGGCTGCGTGGAAGTATCGGCCCTGCGGCATGTTGGCGTCATTGGTCGAATCGATGGTCACCTGCAAACAGAAACATAACAATGTGTTTATTTATTAGCTTATTCCGTTATTTGATCTTGTGAGGTGAGGCATAACAAGCAAACTTGTACTTTTATATGGGACAATGCAGTTTTAGAAATAAGGTTGGAACACTAGAACATGTACAACATTGTTGTAGATGAGACTTTGCTAAACTGTTAACAGTTTTGTATTTGAATATTTATAGGGATGGAGTAATTTTCATTTGTGATCCCTCAAAGTGTTAAAACCCAGTGGTATTTATACCAATTGTCGAATACTTTGTAACCTTGGTACTCAATACAAATTCCAGAATTTACAGCGATTAGTGCATGGTCATCTTCCGCAAGTGCAGAAACATGTAAATTTTGTATGGCCTACTTCTTTTGAGATCACGATTTTATTAAGAGTGACGTAAAATCAATCAAATTCCAAGCGCAAACCAAGTACCGTCAACCAGTCTAGACCCGGACACTATTTTACCTATTTTTTTATATTCTTAGGTTTTAGGTTATGTTATGTAAATAAAACCTTTACTATATTGTTGTGTGTGTTTTAATGGTTATGTACCCATATAACTCTATCCATATTATTTATATTATCCATAGGAAAAAAAAGTTTTTTTACTGTCCGGCTCAACCACGTAAAACGTTCTTGACCCGGACACTAACTTAAATATCATTAAAACTCAACATCTAACCTTTACAGTCCGCTTACGGACATGAGAACGTCTCGTTTTATGTGTTGACTGAGTTACAGACGGGTTAAAATTAGTTTCAAGTTATTTGGAGAGAGGTTGGGGGAGATTGCATAGAGTAAGACGCAACATTACAAGTGAGCCTACAGTGGCCTACATTTATTTAATGGTCAAGTTAATAAAAGAACGATATTGAACATGAAATAAACATTACACTGTACATTTATTGGATGGTGAAGCCATCAAATGAACAAGAGAACTTAAAACTAACCAGTCTATCGTTCTTGTAGTTAAAACTAGGCACACCAATGTTTCTCTCTACTTGATCGTAGTCGACGATGCACTTGTCTGCCGGTTCTGGCCACTTGAACAAAGATGTTTTGTCAATGTTGCGTGCAAACTTGATCCCCAAACCTTCTGGAACAACTTCCTCGACGACTCCCACGTAATATTTTATTTCTCGCTTGCCAGGGAACTTGACCAGCAACCAATCCCCGACAGCCGGGTCCTTGAAAACTCCATCAATACCGGCACCAAGCGGCTGAGGTTCGTCTGGGTCGGAACAGTGCAAATCGTCCGAAAAGTCCTTCACGGAAAAATGGTCGTCACTTGAACTGGATGAGTCTACTCTAAGTCTTTTTTTTTGCGACTTTCTTCTTGACTGGTTCTCCCGCACTGGTCGAAGGTTTTGAATTCTGATTCTGTATATCGGTGGCAGATATACTGGCTCCAGGAGAAACATTCAATTTTTTCTTCCTCATTGGCTTGGTTTGCCCTGGACTGTGACGCAAGTCAGACAAAAATTGAATTACAGCTTCGCCGACAAGCTTCCTTGGTTGCTTGGAAGGTGATTCCATCACATGGTTTTCCATTCGCTGGGCAAACTTGTCCAGAACATGTTTTGGATCAAGCGGATAAATGCCACATGCCCGGAAGCCAGCTTGCAAATTTTTTGCTTGATTCGCACTGATGGTCTCGCAAAGCTTTGCGAGCAAAGAAGGGAACTGGTTCTTTGGGAGGTTGCTCAGCCTCCTGTCTGCTGTCACTTTCCAATCACAAAGGATCTGACGCCAAGCTCCTTTTAGAGGCCTAAAAAAGGCGACGTCTAGCGGCTGAAGTAAGTGTGTCGCATTGGGTGGCAAGCACACAAAGCGTATGTCGTGTTGCTCACACATCTTTAATACATCAGTGGAAAAATGAGTCGAAAGGTTGTCCCCGATCACTACCTTTTTCCCCTCCAAGGATTTAGCCCATGGTAAGGCTACAGTCTTGAACCAATCGGCGAATGTCTCTTCGTCAATCCAACCGGATTTTGATCGATTGTAACGGGCTCCGGGTGGGCCACCAGCCACCCAAGCATCATATAGCCTCTCGGCCTTGTAACAGACATAAGGTGGCAATAGATTTCCACTCGCCGTGCCAGCAAACATCATAGAGATGCAGCTCTTTGAGCTGTTGAGGATTCGTTCAGGGTACTTTGTCCCCCTTTTAAATATGCACTTCGTAGATCCCGGGTCATCACTAAGGTTTGTTTCGTCATAATTTAGGATGTTGGTTGAAGGGATGTTCTCCAAGCTTTCTTTTAGGTTTTCGAAATATTGTGAAACCTCTTCATGGCCAACTTTGGCTCGCCTATGAGTTATATTGCGACTCATTCGCAAGCGGAGGTCGGGATTTCTGTTGAAAAAGCCATTTACCCATTCCTCTCCAGGAAGATTGTTCTTAAAAATAGGTACATTACGCCCTTGTTTGTCGAGATAAATTTTTACAACTAGACGCAGATCAAGGCGGGTGAATGGAAACCCCCATTCTGCCACTTTGCCAGCGTGATCACTAAATATTTGTTCTTCCAACTCAGAAAACACTGGCTGTTTGCCGTGCGGTCCTTTGTATTTCCCAGTTAAGTGGTCGCTCAGAGTTGATTTTGGGATTGAGTATTTTTTAGCCGCAGCTCGAACACTAATTTTCTTGTCCTTTATCTCTTCAATCACCTTATTGATAAGCTGGTATCGCTCACTCATTTTGCATCACTAATAACTACCTAATAATTTATAATAACTAACTAATAATAACTAATAATTGTCAATAAGTCACAATGAAAATCAGTCTATAACCTCACAATAACAAAATAGCAAGTAGAGTAGAAGTGAGGTGCAATATTTAGCGGGAAAATTGATAGCTGCCAACGCAAATAACACAAAGAGTAAAATAAACAAAGAGTAAGTAGCGGTCGCACAACATCGAATGCCGCTCTGCCGAAGCTCCCGTGGCACCGAATCTCGCGTCGCCGAAGTGTCCGGGTCAAAACTGGATTAACATTTTATAAGTTTTTTTGGAAAGTGTTAACGGAATGAGCTAGAAACTAATATATTATTGTTCGCGACAATATAGAGAATAGAATTATAGCAATAATAATCTTGTTGGCTATGTGTATAAAATTATATATGTCTTAGTCGGACAAAAAATGTTTTTTTCCAAAGGGGAGAGGTTGGTATTACTGCAGATGACATCATGATAGCTGATGTAAAGTCATAAATGAATGTTCAGCTGTTTAGCTAGTGTTATTACGTTGCTTTAGAAGAAAAAATCATCGTGATATGTGTTAAGGTAAGGTTATAGTTAGGATTTTAGAAATCTTTTACACTCTGTCCGGGTCAACCACCCCTGTCCGGGTCTAGACGGTTTTACGGTAAGAAATTTTTTTTTAATTTTCAGGTTTCAAAAAGCCCCGCCAATAAAGAGTCAGTTTGAAATTTTGATTGCATAAATAATTAATTAATATGCATGTTTTAATAAACCCTACTTTTTTCAGAAGAGCCTACAAATAATTAGCCTACACAAACTTTTAAGTTAATTTAAACTGCTTGTGTTTCTAAATTTGATTTGAGTCACAATCGAGAATCAGTCAAAATTTCTGTATGCGTATCCAATTTTTTTTTAACCAGTCCATCACTTAATGTTTGTAATATATTAAAATTTAAATGTTTTAGAATATTACCTGCATCCAAGTGTTGTTCTTTGTGTCGAACAAGCGTATGTCGTTGAGAGGACCGTGAGATAGAGAATAACCTCCAAACAACCACAGTGACCCTCGTCTGTCCGTGAGTAGAGAGTGACCAAACCTGCACAACGGACAACATCATTAACAGGTGAAAATAACACTACCTACATTCAATACTTATAGAAAACCTTCTGCAATTAACCCTTAGGGAGCCAATTTGTAATCAGTATAGAGATTTTCCTATAGTTAAGACCTTCCCAAAGGCAAAATTTCTTAAATCATAGACTTTTGGATACTAAAGTACACATCCAATTCATATAAACCCATCTAATAGCTGGTAGAATAGCTCGTGTTATTCCAATAGATCATAGTTGAATACACTGTTCACAAAATATACTATAAGCAAAATATGTTCTCCCTTATATTTGAAACTTTGAATATTGATGTGACATAATAGAAAGGATTTTCACTCCACGTAACTCACCGAGGCAGCATCTTCCGCAGATGGTCGAGACTATCAGCCAGGTGGGCAGAGTTGAACAGTTCGGTGAACACCAGATGGTTTGGTGTAAGTCTGGTCGCACATTGAGGTCCGCCCCATCCATCTACACACAGGCATCGTCCGTACCCCTGGAACAGAACACATACAGCATTCAAATATGTTAAAATTTATATGTTAAAACCTGTAACGGTTACACTGTCATATTTACATTCTAAATACTGTGAAGTCTATCGACTGTCAAGAGAAGGAAATTGTTTCATACAGCCCAAAAGCCCATACAGCGAATGGCGACTAAGGGACCTACAGTCAAGCCCGGTCTGGCCAGGGCGGCGATCCCCGAGGGCCTCCGGCTCAAGGGGGCCTCCAAAAGCCAAAAAATCAATTCAAAAAAATTTAGTTATAATAAAAAAATATTTTGTTTAACTGTTTCACAGCGACTTAGTCTTGCAAAAACAATTTTTAATAAACAATACTCTTTTTTTAATTGAATTACAGTTAGGGGTAGCCCCTCACAGTGATAGTCACTCAGTACTAGAGGATAGTCACCGATCTCACTGCAACGCACCGTTCGAATCAGCTCAGTGCCCAGCGCTCCGCGGTAGTGACGAGACATTGCCGTGCCGGCGCGTCTGCGATATGTCAGGTGTCTGGACTCAAGCAGACAGCTTAGCGCTTGTACTAGTATAGTGATGGTACAACCGACTGGAAAAAACTATCGACTAGTCAATTTGTCAATCGGTTGTTTTTAAAACCAGTGGTTTTTTTCAGTCAAATGAAAAACCGAGAGAATTCCACTACAACAACAACTGGTGGCGTTCAATCGGTGCAGTGGTTTCAGTCATTTCAAAGAAAATTATCGAATATAATTTTACTTTAAACATTAGAGTTTTCCCGCTTGATTCCTATTGTTTGTTGTCATTTGCATTAATATTTTGTTACTTTGGTATAAAACGTAATAGAATGACAACATTTACAATTAATTAAATTTTTTTAGCTATTACATGACTACAAGATTAAAATTATTCAGTAGGCCTAATGTTTCTAACTCAGTATAACAAATATTCCTATTTATTTGTTACCTGGTTTTTAAAACAGATTTTACTACAGGCATTAAAATCTAAATCATCAGTATATAAAACACAGTGTCTTGGCAATTTTATATTTTTTTAAACAACAAAAATAAATGCAATTACATTTTATGTATCATCCCTAAAAACTGTTCCCAATTCCTAACCGTCAGTTTATCTACAACTGATTTTATTCGACCAGTCAGCCTCATCTCAACACCAAAAGGTCGAGTATGGTGTTACGACTAGTTTAATCACCGACGACTGTTTCCAGTCATTCCTACAGTGGGTTATGACGTATTGTTTGAAAGATTACTAACACGTGAATCGTTCAGTTTATAAAATGAAACGTGCGCACCCAAGTGGCGCAAGTAAAATAAAAATGGATAGGAAATATTTCAAAATAAAAACAAATGAAATTCAAACTGTTTGAACTTATGGTTAGCAGGTTAGCTGGTTTCAGTTCCGATTCTGCTAACAATGAGAAGTCGCAAACAGGCAGGCGGAAATCATCAGAAGTTTTTTGTAAGCCTTACAACGTTTAAATTAAAATACTTTTGATTATTTCTGTTTGTCTTTGTTGCTGAAGTACAACTATGGAGTAAAGTGTGTGATAAACAGTAAATGTGGTCCATTCGTAGATGTATTCAAAATTCAAAAGTGGTACGTGATATGCTTTTTTACCATGTATGGCCAAAACTCCAAGAACTAGGTTTTGGTCTTATTTTTAAATTGAAGACTTAAAACAATTTTAAGAATAGGCCTTTAAATTTTATGGCAGCTGTAGAGGTGAATAGAAATACGAGCAAATTTTATATCAAATTTAAATGGATTGATACCTTGGAATTAAATTTATAAACACAAAGATTTTAATTTATGAAATTATTAATTTATTAATTATTATTAATTATTATTAACAATTATTAATTTAATAAAAATTATCAAAAACTTTTAATCATTTAAAACCACCTTAGGCCCCTTTTATGCACCTGCGGCATGCAGCAAACATATATACTAATTGTTGCCGTGAGAGCACCCCATGGTCCTTGTTTTATTTCTGGCTGGGGGCCTCAAATCAACATCTAGCCGAGGGCCTCCAATGGAGCCAGACCGGGCCTGCCTACAGTTTATAGTGGAATCCGAACGACATTTTTGCCTTGATATTAACAAATTTGTTTGATTATCAGGATAGTACTGCGGATAGTCGTAGTACTTACTTGTGCGGCCGTTAACCCACACCAGAGAGTATGGCATCCACAGTGCTTGCCTAAAAATATCCACAATTCGTGACCTCGTAGCTGGATTACAGCCCTCGTCCCAGACAATACTAACTATTGTCAGGTTGCTAAAACCTTCGACAAACAAAATAGACAACAATGGTTAAATATTTTGAACGCTCATCGACCAACCTTGTCACAAACACCCTGTTTTAAGTCAGCCGTGCAGTTGTTGGGGCACAGAAGGTCGTTGCACTCAGGACCTGTGGAGCCATCCGGACACACGCAGACTCCTGCGCGACACACTCTGTTGCGAGGACACTTCTCTGGACAGCCCAGCACCTCCACGGTGGCATTGAACCCTTCCAGAGGATCACCCTGCTTGTAGTGAACTGTCATCACCCCTGTAACAAGTAATAATAAAATTATTAATTAATAAGGAAAGCAGGCTTACCTTTAAATAAGTCCATAGAGACACATAAAACATCACAAAATTTTGTGATGTTTTATGTGTCTCTATGGACTTATTTAAAGGTAAGCCTGCTTTCCTGTCTTCCTCAATAATTCCTGGCAAATGCCCTATCTTTTTATAAGAAAATAATGAATTAACATACTCTTACTTAAGGAGTTGTTAGGAAAGATTATAACGTTCAGCAAGGATAAAAAAATTGGGCAACTTTTCACAATACAAAGACTCTACTATTTAAAAGATAGCTGGTAGCCCAGAAAACGGTGTGTTTTTATGTTTATTTGTGCATTTTAATTTATGAGAGTAAGGCAAGCTTGCTGTTAAACCTGCCCATTACAAAATCCTTAAAACCCTGGCTTTAAGAGATTATTTACAATAAGTCATAAGTTTTTCACAATACTTTATAACACCAATATTTCACAATATTGTAACACTTCTTAAAATGTTTGGTTGAAATAAAATGTTACATTTTAGTACTTCCAAACTTTTATCTCTGTATCTACAGATAATATACCTTATCCCTTAAAATCCATCTATCTTTAAACACCTTAATTGGCTACATAGCTTGAAATCTCTTTATATTCATGAGTAAGGGGACAAGACTACTTGACTGACCACTACGGGCCTCCACGGTGACTGGGTACGACGTATCCTGTGAGCAGAACACTCCCAGCACATGACTCTGGTGGTTGTCCATGGACACAAAGTCTGGCAGTCCGTCGTACACGTAGACACTGTTGTCTCCACAGGTAACTGCGATGTCCGAGTCTATGGTCAACTGTATCACACTGGACCTGTCCAACATACCATACAAATGTAACTCCTGACCTGTGTGAAGAGTTGGTGCCAAAATATGCAGTCGTATATGGCTGCTAGGGAAACAGACTACCCGAATAGGAAACAGTCAACACATGCACAAAAAAATCCTTTACATTATATACTAAAAACCTAAAATATTTTACAACCACTGAAAGAATTTTCCAAACAAGCAAGGTTTGAGTTATTGTTTTATTTCTCTCTCCAAATGTATTGTAAAACTTGCTAAAACTTTAACATCAGGATAGAATGTGTATTTTCACACAGTTCTATCAAATCTAAGGTCATCACCCTAACTTAATGTATGAAGGTATTCGTCTAAGAAGGGGTCATGGGTTGGGGAAGGTTAATCACCAGAACACATATGAGACCTATTAAAAAAATGGTACATAATCTACATGATAAATTTAAAAAAAATAAGATTATGAATTTTTTTACAAGACCATTTGTTGTTCCACTTATCTTGGCTTGTAGCTTTGTTTACACTGTACCATAAATTAAGAAACTTTTACAATGTTGATGTGCTGACGTGCCAATGTGTTATGAGTACTGAAAAATTCATAAAAAAATCTGTATAGCTCCTTTACTACAATTTCCCCAGGTAATCTATCTGGACATCTCAAAAGAGAAATCCCACAGTAATCAGTTAAGTCACTCACGCGTCAGTCTTGTTGTGCAATTCGTGAGGACTGATGATCCACAGACATTCACGAGATGGCGGCCCCTGACGAGACTCCCACGCACTCATCTCCGCCAGCCGAGACCCTAGACCTTGCTTCTCTGTGCTGGTCAGCATCCCTCGGGCCACGCACTGGTAGTAGCACGTGCCACCCCTCCTATACACACAATCATCGGATTAATTATTTGATCCTTAGAAATTATATAAATTATCTCCATAATTTGTTTCTCTTTGCTTATATTAGTGGTAGGGATTGTTTGGTTCCTAAAGTTGTATGTGGGTTGCAGCAAAATAACCGAAACCAAGAATTGGGGGGAAATGTCGGTTTCAGTGCATCAGTTGTTGCACAGTAAATAATTTGGCCGTACAATCCTTACTGTGCGGTCTTTATGATTGCAGAGAAAGCACAAGATTTTGCAGTGTTCGTGGGAAACAATGATGATTGCTAGAAGACTACAATAAAAATTCACTATGTTCCCATGAATGGGGAAGACAATGATGTATGTGCATATTATGACATTGCTGCAATCATGGAAGACAACGTCTACGACACTGCAGTACATCATAATTTCACTGAGATAGCAAAAGACGATAATGATTTCTACAAGATTGTGGTACATATTCAAGATTACGCCATGATCACAGGAGACGATGAAAACATTTTCAGTGACATCGACAGAATTCAGAGTGTCAGTCTATGAATCATTCCCTTGAATGGCTCTCATTGGTGGATTACCCAAAATGAAAGAAACTGGAATGAGTTAGCATTTTTAATAAGAGATTTTTACGTTTTAGTTTAGATTTTATTATAAGACTCCATTATGAAAGTACTTTGGACTATAGTTTTTGCTATAGGCTACTTTGAATTATATTTGGCAGCTGGCTGAAGTTGTCGTACAATAGGCAACATTAACGTGATTGGAGATCAGAGCATCCAACTAACCTTGGGTCTCCGTAGTAGCCTTTTTTGCACTTGTTGCAAGTTGGGCCCTCAGTATTGTCTTGACAGAAGCACACTCCGGTGATCGAGTCACAGAATCCCAACGCTCCGTTGCCGTGGTCGTTACAATTGCAGCCTCGGCAACCTCCTGGCGACGTGGCGTTGCCATAACTTCCAGCTCTGCAATTGGAGGGGAAAGTTATTAACACAAAAGTATAGTCCCATACACAAAAAAATACTAAAAACATAAAGGTGTATTAAATCATTTGAATTATTAATGTCTAACTTGTGCAAATAAGTACAATCAATAACTCACGTGTTATACTTTAGATTTATAAACTTGCACTACAGGCAACATGCTCTCAGAACTTACTTGCAGTATTGACAGTGGTCTCCTGTAGTCCAGTCGTGGCAACTGTCACAGATTCCAACACCCTGAAATCACAATATTAAACTTAGAAACTCAATGCATGACAACTCCTTGTAATTATACTATCTTTAACCACTGGTTATGTATGAAATGAAATGAAATGAAATGAAAATGATTTATTTAGTCAGGCAAAGTTAGGGCCACATGGCCCTCTCTTACACTTAACCTGTTTATACAAATCTAAACATACAAATAAAACAAAACGATGTACAATACAGTACAAATAAAATACTATAATCTATTTACAATATTTAATGTAAAAAGAAACAATACACTTTTAAAACATACCACCTTACATAAACACCCACACACACACACACCTACACACGTACACGCACACACACAACACACACTCGCAAGAACTAGCACACACACACGCACACCTGTCAGTGATCAACCAAGCGCACGCCTAGGATATACCAACCATGGCCATACGTCCAGAAAACAGATTTTATAATGTATAATACCACAGATGTATAATACCACAAAGTAAAGTAAATGTAGTTTATGTTTGTGTATCTGTTAAAATGTTAAACAATTGTAGATGATGAATCAGACCAAAACTCTTAGGTCTAATCATGTTTCCAATACTCTGCCAATCTATGCTATGTTTGTCCAAAGGTTTTTACTAAGTTTTCTTTTAAACTATACAGCAATATGGGTCTTAAAAACTACAATACAATAGCTAATCTATACTGTTATTCTTGCCCAGTTTTGCCAACTTATTTTGACATGTAAACGACCTCATCTGTCTCGTACATTTCATACTGTATTATGTTACGATTTCAATTCAAGTTATCTGATTGAAAATAAGTGCGGAAATGTAAAAACCAAAGTGAAAAAAAAAATTAGCGCAGACGGCTTATTGGTGGGTTATGATCAGTGCAAAAATGGCAGGGAGAAAACATTGGCAAATGTCCACACTCCTTGCTCAGATGCAAAATAATAATCCACAGAATTTGATGCTCCGGTTGAAATATGTGTGTTGAATAAATATTTCTCTACCTGTGTACAAGTCGAGTGATTGTTGCATCCACAGTTGGTACCACAGTCAGGTCCTGTCCAGCCAAGGTCACACTTGCAGGAGTACTGCGGTGCTCCGACACAGTAGCCGTTGATACACTTGTTGTAACACCTACAACACACAACTGCTGTATGTGTGTCTTAAACAAGGAAGCCACGTTTCGTCAATTACAAAGGGTGTGTATAGCACCAACCAAACTGAGCATAGCCTGAATACGAATGTATAAAGGCAAACAATTATTGTGTTGAAAAATTTACACTAATAACTACCCTGTTTTACACAATCCGTCATCAAAACCAATAGCTTCACAACTTCGTATTCAAATCCAAATTATAGCTTACGTCTTGGTGCAGGAGTGTTTGCCGTCGCCGATGAAGCCGCGTCGACACTGACAACTGTACGAGCCGTGCGTGTTGGTACACTTGGCCTCGGGGTGGCAATCGTGGAGTCCCAGTCCGCACTCGTCTACGTCTGGACACTGGGCGTATGACCAGCTCACCTCATCACTGTACAGTGACATGTTGTGCTTTCGATTCACCACACCGGCGCACGACTCTGTAACATTATAATTAATTTAGTTATACGTATGGTATTTTAATTTTATTTCACATGCAACAGGCATTTTTATGGAATAATTTAATCATATTTTAAGTCATATTATAAATACAACTGAATATTAATTCATTGTTAATATAACATTTTTTCCCATGGACTAAAATCCTAATGTTCAAGTGGCAACCTAAAGTTGTAAACAAACATGACATTAACTGTTTATGTAGTAATCATCAGCATAATCACTCAACTCAACACCCAAATACCTTTTCCTATATGAGCCTCTTTTCCTTACTCTCGTAGAGCCTAAAGACAGTTTGAAAAAGAGAGGTAATATATTGAGAAGAGTAGTTTCAAGGATGGTTTTCAATCCAGCAATATTTTTAGACGGAAAATTACTAACAATAACGATACTTTTATTTCAATTCTTTAAGACAATTTACACACAACAGATTAACGACTTACCAACATGAGGGTTGCTAAAGTCGCCTGGTACGCAGACACCCTGTATGGGATTGTCCAGGTCGTAGCACCAGCCGCAGCCCAGCGTGCGCAGACAGGATGAGCAGTTGGCGTGTCGTCCGCATACATCGCAGGCTGCGCTGGCGTGGTTGCGTGGCGCCAGTGAGTGAGGCGAGTGGTACGTCTGGTCCAGCCACTCTCTGCAGAGACCAAACTGGTATTGCGATGTGTACACGGCGAATGCAAAACACTCCTGAAATGTTAATTCAGTAATATAATGATCAAGAGGGTTGAATTTGAATGTCATAAGAGGAAGTCCTTCGGCTGGTTAAGAAATATTTTTTGAAGGGGACCGAGTAAATCTAGACTTGATAAAAATAGTGTCCAAGGCTTTTAGATACTATTTTTCTTCTCTCTAATTTTCTAGGGCAAGCTTGCTAAACTATAATATATCTTTCCAAAAACGTCATTAAAATTATATGATTAATTTTTACAATGGCTGCAACGACTGCAGGTTTTTGGTTCAATTTCTATATAATATGAGTTAAGTTTGAATATTTGTTACTTCGATCTGGGAATCCCCCATGTTATTGCAAGAAAATTAAGGTTAGATGAAAGGTTCCGGTTGCAGTTTTGGAGCGAGGAAAATACTGGGTATTACCTTACTACAGTAGAACTTCGATAACAAGACCCTTGATAACAAATCAAATCTACTTGAAACTATTTTACCCCTAATCACATGTTATTGCAACCTCAATAAGAAGTCAGCATTGATAACAAGTCTTATTTTATAATCCCTATGTGGTCTTGTTATCAAGGTTCTACTGTATTTTAACAGAAATTAAATAGACTGCAAAACAATATTTTTGGGACAGATGACATTGACCAAAGAATACGCTCAGAGTATAGGCCTACTAATAAAGTTGCTCGGTTCCCAGGTACTGTATACCTTTAAGCAAAAGTTGAGACGTGGTGATAAAACCTAAGTGCAGCTATAAAAACCTGAAATTGGTATAACTGACTATGGGGAATATTGTCAAACGTCCATTACCTGAGTGGCCTGACACCACACACAGCGTCCGTTGCCGTCCAAACAATCTGTACAGTTGGCTCTACTGTAACATGGAGGAGGGCACTTGCCTGCTTCCACCACTCCTGCTGGAGACCTGAGCAGAAAACACACGCCATGGTTTATATATCTCATAGTTGTGGATATTGTAACAAGTTTTAGGCTAACTCGTGTAACTAAACAGATAAAAAACAATGTAAAGAAGTGTACAGTCCTACAAATTGTCAAAGCAAAGTGTTCATTTGAAGGCTGTCAGAGCCACCAGTTCTCATCCAAACGTTCTCTGATCCTCTGAGCACACTACCATGATTTAATGACCCCATTCCCAAACACAGAAGAAAATTGTTCAACTGACAGCACTACAAAAACATACTACTAAAAGCATTTGATGTTATCATACACCCCTCAAGCACACTTCCTAGCTTGTAAGCAGTGTTTTCATGAAGTGTTATTAGGTACTGTGTGGGAATTAAAACATGTAGAATAAAACAGAATTTTTGGCTATGACGTCTAATTTTGTATTAAAACTAAATACATACTATACACCAATAAGTGAGATTTTTGTTTAGATTGTGTGGAAACACTACTTGCACGACATGACAAAGCATAACCTAGCTCGCCTAGCCTATCCTTCATACCCATCCTACTCTGCCAAACAATGTCCCCAGGTACATTATACTGATCGAACAGTTTCCATTCATTAATGTAACTAGTAGACTAACATACAACTAACGCACCTTCCTCTGCGTGAGCACCTAGCGTCGTCAGGCCACCACTCACAGATGCCCGTGTATACACAGGCCTCGCAGTCCACGTAGTTAGAGCAGTTGGCGCAGTGAGACGGTACGATGGTCAGGTAGTGCCACTGTGACGAGGACGGTGAGCGACAGGTGACTCGCTCGTCGCTGCTGCGAGGTTGGCACTCGTTGGTCGGCTCACACCAGCCGCACAGTGAGTCGCTGAGGCAGTGCAGACAGTTGGTGTACTGGCTGCAGCTGCCGTTGCCCTCAAAGGGTTCTAGGTACTCGAACGTAAACACCTGCAAGTAAATAACATATGAATAGGTTTAAAATAGTTAAAAAGGTTTAGGCTGTTTTACTTAAGAAGTTACTTCTTTGTTTCAAAGTTAATTTTTGCAATTGGTGAGTTAACATTATCTTTTGGATTAACGCGGACCCTCCACATTTTCTATCACAACATGCGTGATGGAAAATGTCTGCAATTATCTGTTAGATAAATCCTATTAGTAAGTAATAATGTTTTAGACTTTTAAACCATATCCTTAGGTTTCGTAAGAAAAAGAAGTAAAAAGAAGACGTCATCATAGTAAGAAATACAGTAGAGTCCCGCAAACTCGGCGTAATGTGGACTGGAAGGGTGCCGAGTTTGTGAAATAGGTTATCGGGAACTAGAGTTAAAAATAAGAACAATACAATTTTTGAGCTTTTAACCGCATTCAGCTTAGAATCTGCTACTTTTATTTTACTACTGTCCTTCTGAAGAATTTCCCTTGCAAGGGAAAATATAAAACTAAGATTGTTATGAACTTTTAAAGTGCTGTCTACTTGGAACTCTTTTTATTACATTATTTAGTTAGATATTCCTTTTGCCTCGATACATAATTAAGTCCAACACTGCTTCAAACCAATTTTTAATACCAAAAACATGAACAAACCTTTGGAGTTTCGTGGGTTTTGTTATGGAGCAACTCCATTTTAGAGTGAGAGTGTATAGGTGGGTACTGACTGATGGAAATGTTCTTGCGAGACTCGTAGTCTACCAGGTACCTGCCAGGTAGCAGCACTGCAGGGGTACCAGTGGGCCAGAGAGCAGCCACGCAGTGTGTCTGTTCTGCACTCAGGTTGGCCACTACCTCCTGCAGAAAAAAAATAGGTTACAGAATTAATATTCAATATAGCATAGAAGAGAAGTAAATGAAATGGAGTAACAAATGAAGAGCTAAAATGAGATGTAGTTAAGATAACTTAGAACGCAGAAAAGGTCAGAATACTTTGATGGTTTAGCCTCAGAAGAGGAAACTCCTAGTAAAATGGAGTTGATACAGGAAAGGAGGTTCACAGTAAGATCTAGAAGAGGAAATATATGAGGTTATGAGTAGGCCTAATGTAAAGGAGAGAAGCATGAATTGACAGATGATGGAGGGGAGGAACTGTAGATGGATAGAAGATGTAGACTAAGTTGATGCATAGACCCAGGAATAACTGAATTGGAAGTTTAAAATATGTATGTATTCAAAATAATAGGTGATTAGTGAAATGCTAGGCACAATTTGGTTTAGATTCCTTTAAAGGCCAAATTGACGAATTGATGGTGAGCAAAAATGATTCGACAAGTTTTTAATCATAATAGTTAATCTCTTGTAACAAGATTTAATCAAATTAAATTACAACAGCATAAATATTGCACTAAGATAGCTAATTTATAATTTATCTTGAACATGTTGGTAGTCCTGTATGATACAAAAGTATTCAAGCATCCTCAAGCTTAAACCACTTGATCCTACCTTTAAATAATAGTTTAACAGCTGAGGTTTGCCAAAACGTCAGTCAGCTGCAACATAGGCTATATATTAAGCAAATAAGCAGTGGGGAAACTTCCCCTCAAACCGCCTAAATTCTGTGAACGGACTATAACACAATTGACAAATTTCGCTCTTTCAAAATACATACAAATATTTTCAAAAATTACCAGGCATCCAGTCATATTTTATACAAACAAGTTAAAAAGCAGAACTTTCCCAAAGTACTGACCAAATGGCTGGTAAGACTTGCAAGCCGCAACGTTGCGTTGGAATGACTGACGCAGATTCTCAACTGTTCCTGGGAGTTTTCCCACGTCTGAGGCGGCCGGAGAAACCCCAGAAGTCGAGCTGTCACTTCACCTGCACAATGCATAAAATTAGTTGCACTTGCTTAAGCTTTACGATAGACTCCTATAGTTTTTGCTGATCTTTCATAAAGATTTACAAAATAAAGTACCCCTTAACGTTAGTATTTATATTTAAACATTTGAGTCTGTCTTCGAAATATCCAATTTTGAACAGGTAGGAAAAACAAAGTGCTGGTTAACCAAATGGAACTATACATGCGTGTATGGAATAGACCATCGTTTAAGGTTTGGGTTACCTCAGAATAGAATAGGTATCTACAGAAGAATTTAAATGGTGTATCAACAAATTACTCATACAAATAGTAATGATTATGTCAAAATTAAAATGTCAATATTTTTTAAATGGCTGTCTGTGGGCAAAGTTGCTATTTCAGTAGAAAATGGCATTATTACCAAACAGAAAGGTTAATCAAGTTGTGTTTGTCCGATATTATGCTGGTAAAGATGAAAGTGGTCCCAAAAATGTTTGTAAAACTTTTCTATTTTTCTATATATTGGGGCATATTTTAGGTAATTAAATTATTTAATGTTTATTTAATATTTACCCCCAAGGTTCTGCTCGGTTCTAGACACTGATGCACTCAGAGCGTTGAAGTCTGCTGTGGTTGCGTTGATAATGCTGACCTGTAAATCAAAAAGGAACTTAAGAGTTATCAATATGTACTTGTTGTTAAGTACTTGCTTTACCAATATAAACAAATATTTATAACAATGAAAATGTGCCTTAAAATCAAATTTATTTGAATGGTGCACCAATATTCTACAATGAGAAACAATGCAAGGGAATTAAAAAAATACTAAAATATGTAGGCTACTGAAAATTGTTTTGGAAAGGTATGGAGTACCTGAGAAAAATATACTGTCTACCTTTTAGATTTACTCCCTTAAAAGTCATATATATATATATATATATATATATATATGTATATATATATATATATATATATATATATATATATATATATTAGGATGAAACATATGAATTTTATGTTTTGTTATGTTTATTGTGTATCTTTTAGAGTCAAGCCTCTAATTTTCTGTGGTAAGCTAACTCTGTCGCATTTCAAATACAGAAATTGAGTGACGAGGTGTTTTCTCATTGGCTGGTCTACTCACATGGTCAGGTTGGGTCCAGTTGGCCGGGTACTTGTACTTGAGGAAGGTGAGGCCGGGTCTGCGGTCCAGCTCTCTACACACGTCGGCACTCATCACCTCCTGTCCCTTGTCTCCCCACCACCCGGCCTCCTGAGACGGGGTGTCGTCCTTCAGACCACACACGCCAAAGTTGTCTGTGAGGCCACAACGTGATTAGTTAGTAAATTAAATTAGATGAAGGAATTCAAATGAAAATGAAACCTAAATTAATATTTTAATGACTGAATCATGTAGAGCCTTGAAATGAACCAAAGGCACTATTAGCATCCATTGCATACAAAATTATAGTCAATTTTATAGCTTGAAATCCATTTATAACAACTATCTAAACACATTTTGTACTGACCATCTTTGTGGTGGCACCGAGCGTTCTGCACACACCACGTACAGTGTCCCAGATGCAGTTTGAGGGCCACTGACGTCAGTCCGTGAGGGTTGCCATGGAGCAGACAGCTGTGACAGTCTCCCAGCGCAGGACACACCCCAGGACATCTGGTGGTCTGCAGGTTGGTGGTGCAGTTTATACCTGCCAAGGTAAACAGAAAGTTACAAACTGCAAACTCTTTGAGCCCTAAAGGTCGTTAAGATTGGTCTTTGAAGGGAGAGCACTTCTGGATGCACAAATAACTCGCCCAAGAAAAGAGTTCCAGGCAGTTGTGATAGCTGAGTAATTTTGTGGAAGCTTGCCTGTGTTGTAGAAACCGATCTACCACTTCGCTCTAAAGTAACCCTTGTAGGTATCAGATACTGCGTTGCAAACGTTTTAGGTGTTATCACCTGCTTGGAAAACATTTCTTGAGTATTAGGTTGGAACACTACACCCATAAGGTTGGTGTATGGACAATCCTTCTTCCACAATGAAAAACCATTATGGGTAAACATTACCAAATTCCTTCCAACAATCTATTCAAGTATAACAAAATCAGCCAGAACAATCGTGCAAAGATTTTGGGTTAACAATTTGGTAGGATCAGCTGGGCTAAATAATTTATATGATAAGATCCTAAAATTTTTCTGTGATTCTACTTCAGCTGTTTGACCAATTTATTCTATGGCTCTACATAATATTTGTATAGTATACTTCACAATCTTACCTAACATTCTACCGTAACAAACTTCATCAGCCGAGCACCAACCGCACTCTGGGTCTCCACTACAGGCAGCCAGGCTGTGATGTCTGTAACGTTACCATCACAGGATTGGTTAATTACACTGGGATAACCTTCAACTATTGACAGAAGTAGACATGGTTAACTTCTAGTCAGTTTTAGAGTAAAAATGAATCAATTTGAATTAAACCACTGACAGAGAGTGCTGATGTTGAAAACAAATTTCTGGAATTCATCAACTTTTCAACCAAGCCAAACCAAAATAAGATCTCGTTAACTTAAGCATCTTTTTGCCACGTCAACTATCTAAGTAAAAAAATAAGAAAGAAAATTAGAATTTTGACAGTAGCTCATTCATTTTACCTATGTTCTACTTCAATAAAAAATTAACATGAACTTCAAGAAAAAAAAGATCAGGAATATAGGCCTAATCCAATTGATTTCAAGTATTTTTGGACAGGAATCTTGTGAAATTGTGCATCACATAAGATATCTCTGTTGTTTTTGTGATCACTAATAGTTTGGGTAAAGCTATAGGCCTAAAGCTGTTTTGTCCAAATTATGAGACAATCGTCATGATATTGCTATGAGAACATTTTTCCTACCTGCTACAAAGCTGCTCCGAGTCGTAATTTTCACCATGTCGCACAGCTACTGTAGGTGGCATGACGTAGGCCAGCAGGTCTGCATTGACGTTGCCGTGGTAACCACCAAACAGCAGCAGTGTGTTGCCGTTACGTAGTGCTGCCGCATGACCAAAGATACCCTGCACCTTGGGGTAGTGGGAGGCTGCAGCAGGGGTACAGTATGGTTATTTATCTACTCATTCATATCAACCCATCACTTCTTACAGTATTGGAATAGACCTGTTTTACAAACATAAACTAAAACTATCCTTATAATTTAAAGGTAATCGGTTATCTTGGCAATTAACAGCTTCGTTGGGTTGTTAAAAAATACTTTGTTATCAAGTACCGTAGGCTACTTTTTTAGGATGTGATCCGAGTCACTTTTAGGTAGCAAGAAGGAATTCATTTAATCATTGTAGCACAATGCAAAAAGAAAGAGACATTGAGCAATTTAAATTGAGGTCATTCCTGACTTTTAGTGTAGGAATTATCTTTATTTGATATAAATAAATAAACGTCATGATTTTAGAGGGAGCTAGAGAATCATAGCTATTAGGAATTTTTTGTCTAAAAAGGTTTGTTGTATGAAATTGTTTAGGAAATTGTTTTACACAAAGTCAGTTGGCAAGCAGGTTACCTGCCTCAGGTAAATTGAAATACACAAGAGGCATGTACAGTTCGGCCAAAACTTCTGTGCATGCGGACGGGTCGCTACTAGCCGAACTATAACATAGGGGTACCGGTTATTGGCAATGCTGGTGGTAGGGGTGATTGAGTAGCAGGCCACAAATGTTTTCACAAAAGTACCCCCGGCAACCCCCTCGCCCAGACCGAATCTGGTGGTGCACACTGAAATTTTGGCCGAACTGTAACCTGTCTGCTTACTGGCATTGTATCACGGCTTAAGTATCAACAACATTCACTGTAATGCCAAAGGGATAAATTTTCTGAAACCCCCAATGACAAACGACTCAGTAGTCTATAGTGCCAACACCGATATATAGTATGAATTATTTTTCCCATAATTTTCATTTTACAATTTAGTTACATTAATTGTTGGAAAACATAGAGCTCACTCAGTTGTGTGGACTAAGGTTATCTCATATGAAACTTTTGAGATAATTTATTTAACAATCACACCAGTTATGTTGCCTAATATGCATAGTTAAACACTCACAGTTGACGGTGTTGTCCAGAATGTCGTGAGTCACCCATGTGTGACAGCCGAGGTGGTACAAGTAGAGATGCTTGTCGTAACAAATCTCCTCTCTGTTGTGGCGATGCGTGTAGCCTCCAAACACTACCATGTAGTTACCTAAACACATTATGAAAAAAGTATAAATGTTTCCGTCACAAAAAGAATCACTACTGCTCACTTTTGAATCTAGAAAACTTTACACTAATCCACCCAAATTTAAGGATTTGCAGGTGGCAGATAGAAATTCATTACCATTAAATGTGGACAGTAACTAATAGGGGAAACCTGTGTACACAGTGGCAGACCAAGACAGCAGCATCTAGAAGGTGGGGTAGAGTGCAGAGCCACTCTTAAGTAAATGGGCCGAGGAGTGCAAGAGATTTTAGGCAAAAGGAAGAGGAAAGGGGGTGTAAATCGGCATATTGTATGCAAACCGCAACACCTGGGAATGGAGGTATGGTTACTAAGTAGGGGTTTGTAAAAAGTCACTTGTATCATGGACACTCAAAGGCTAGGAGAATGAACTCTGATGTAAGACGTGTTAGGTTAGAATCTTAAGGCTGAAGAAAAAGCGGCTAACTTAGACAAGGATAACTGAACTCTGAATACAACTCTGGTCTTACAGGTTGGAATTTAAGCTTTAGGTCAACAAACCTATTTCAATAATACATTAAACACCTACATCCCCCAGATTCAAAACAGGGAAACGAAACAGAACATAAAACTAAAACCACTCATCCACCTATTTGACTAAAAATTAACCTGTTGTATTTTGGGTGCATTTTCATTTATAGAAAGCAGGTATCAATAGTCATAGATAATTTTTTAATCAGTATTCTTTGTTTTAAATCTTAACTACCCTTTAACATACAAACTAAGGCACAAAGCAAAATCCGAGGCGTACCTATAACAGTGGCGCTGTGGAAGGCTCGCTCTCTAGGTAGGTAGTTGTCTCGCAATTCCGAGCGAGGGTAATGAATCTCTGCCCAATGGCGGCTCTCCAGGTGGAACGAGAACATACGGTCACTCAGCTTGCTGAAGCGAGCAACGTTGGTCACAATCCCAGCATACACCAGTAGTGTGTTTGCCTGGAATTCGGATTATAGCTAATTAGAGGGTAGATTAAAGAAATTAACATTATATCTTGCCCACGATACTTAGCTAGCCTATGCAGAAGATTATTTTCCGACCTCTATCCCATTGTCCAACAGATGCATGACTAAAATGTAACACACTCCTCCAATTAAAACTAACCCTGGTGTAGGCTCAAATAACAATAGCTTGATTTTTAATACAGGCTTGTGAATGACCTTAAGATTTGTTTTCACAGGAATAGATTGCGTTAACGTAGCTATGACCATCATTGTTGAATACATGAGGCATGCGGTTACAACGCCTACATCAAAATCTATAATTGCCTAGGTCAGATTATCGGCTCAAATTCTATTATTTGTGATTGGGCTATCAGTTGACAATATTAGTTAGCCAAACAAATAAATTATTCTTAGTAGGGATGGTCAAGTCTCGAAATTTCGGGAAATTTTCGGGAAATTTTAAATCTCGTTACACGAGACAAGATTTCTTTTTGGCCGAGATTTTTATCAAGACAGGAAAAAAAAAAAAAAAAAATTAAAAATCGCCTGCAGAAAGTCAATGCAATACCCGCAATACAGGAGTGTGTTGTAGTTGCGTTTCCTTTGTGAAGGCGTTCTTATTTAATTAATTCTTTACATGTAAATATTACTTTAATTATTTTAATAATATTACTTTAATAACATTTGAGAAGTTTTGTTAAGTGTAAGCAGTGTGAGGAATGTTTTATTACTATAAAAAGTCAATACAAGTAACTATTTTATAAAAATTAATATTGCTTTTATTTTATGATTTATTTTATTTTAGGATAAGTTGAACTCTATCCTAACTGATATCACTATGTTTCCTAATCGTAGGCATTTTTAATAAGTTAGGCGTGATTAATAAAAAAATGTTATGCTGATGTTTTTTAATAAAAGATTGTTCTTGCCTATTATCATTATTTTTGTATTTAAACAGTCATCTACCAATGTTACAAAATCAGGTAAAAATTTTGAACGTGCATTTCCCGTTGTGTATGAGAAGGGAAATCCCGTCTCGATCTCGTCTCGAAATTTTATGAGATATAAAAAATCTCGTCTCGTCTCGTCTTGAACTAAAAATCCAATCTCGTCCATCCCTAAAAGTGCAATACCAAGGTTTTGGCTGTTACCAAATATCTCAAATTGAGCAAGAGAGAAATTTAGTGTGATTCTTCTTTTACTCCTGATTTATTCTTGGACTTACCTGAGGATTATACACTGTAGAGTGAGCCACCATTCGGACATCAAGCTCCTTGCCTCCTCTCGGAACTACTTCCTCCCACTCCTCTGTCCCTCCCACTGTAAAAACACATTCGTAAATACATAAAGCCTGACAGTATTAAATGTTTATACTATGTCTTACACATAAGTAGTAGTTAATTGTTATGAGTATATTAAACTAGTGGTATGCAAAACCAAATTTAGCTAGAGGTAACACAAAAGCAAGAGTGTAGTAGGTATAACAGCTCCGCTCCGCTCAATAAAAATAGCTAAAACAATAATGGAGCAGAGGCCTATACAATGTTGGCTGAATTTGACAATGATTAACTCATCTTATTATTATCAGTGTTTACATTATTTACAGTAATCATTTAATTCATACTATGAATTAAGTCAGAAAAGTATAGTTTGCCATTTACAGTTAGGCCTACAGTAATAATTTTGAACTGTGATTGCTTGAAAATAATAAATTAAAGTAGCCTAGTTATTTTGAATTCAAAATTGAAAGGTCTTAAATTTGCAAACAAGCCTGATTAAAACTTTGCTTTGCCTGGTAAAAAGACAAATGATTACACTATCACTAACCTGTGGACAGTTTTATCCTGAATATCTTAGGGGAGAACATCCCCTGTTCTGTAGATCCTCCGACCATGTACAACCAGCCGTCGTCTGCTAGTGTGAGAGTGTGGCGGGCCAGTGGAGGAGGCTGCAGTGCAGAGTTCACAGCTCTCCGCGTCCATCTACCCCCCACCACCTGGTACAGCCACAAGTCCGAGCCTAAGCTGCCGTCCTCCAGCACACCTCCGTGCAACACGAAGCCTCCAGGGTAGTTACTAGCTGCATGGGAGTACCTCGGTGTCGGCTTTCCCAGGGTGAACTCTTCGACACCAACATGTCTAAGGAATCTCGCACTTTGACCTTCAGGCTGTTTTTGTGTCCTCGAGTTGTTATTGACGTTGGTCGAGGTGAACAACAAGGTTGAGAAAAAATTTTGACGATGATGCAACCCCCACTCCTCCCCACCACCGACAGAAGCCCATCTTCCAACGGCTGCTAGTCTTTTGGCATCTAATTTATCATTCGCACCAACAACACTACTTATTATTTTCCCGTCTTCGTCCTCCCACTGGCTGTGGTTGAAGCGGAAAATCACCAAGTCTCCAAGAATGGTGTTCAGGTTGTAACCTCCGAACACGTAAAGTGCGTCGGTGTCGGAGATGTAAATGGCCGAGTGTGCAGCTCGAGCGTTCACACCTTCTCTGTGCAGATGATGCCATGAGTTGCCCACTGGGTCGCCCTTGTACAAACTGCATGCTTGGCCAGAGTATCCAGTAAAACAATGACACCGACCCAAGAGACATCGTCCTCGGCCCTTGGAGACGCCGCAGTGGTCGGGACAAAGAGGCTGAGAGCAGTCCACTCCTCCCCACCCACTCTCACAGATACATGAGTGAGCCAAGCATGTCCCGTGACTCGAACAGTTCGCTGGACACTCTGTGATGTAATACTCGGCTCGGAATCCATCCAATACGTAGTTTGTGTCACTGTATAGCAGTATCAACATCTAGAACAAATATTATTTTACATTGGAGGCTTTTATACAAAGATAATTGGCAGATGTTGAGTTAATTTTACCAATTGACTCCCCTGAGGTGCTATACTATCAAACTTCAATCACGACATTATAAAATCAGTTTTAAAAATGTTTGAGTGGGATGGGGATAAATTAAACAGTGAAAATAACCTGAAAACAACACTAAGATTTGATCACATCTTAGTCCTAGGATCGCAGCATGGTTATATGGCTATTGTTATAGATTTTACTTTAATGAAAGGTTGGACAAATAGTAAATCCAGATGTCATAAAACAGTTACATCTTTATGACATCAGGATATGCTTTTGTATAAAAATGTCAGCACTAATTAAAGTTTACTGCAGTTTTGTTGGTTGCATTTTTATTCGTTTCGTTTGAGTAACTTAATCTGAATTTTACGTTACCACTCCTGTAGAGTAAAGGTACCATAGTTATAAGTACGGTAGTTTGTTGTAAAGACAATGATCATGAAGAGTTCAATGTCTCGGTTCATCATAGTTTGCTCTGTCGATTAACAAAATATCCTAACTTACTGCACATTGTTACATTGTTACTGTTAGCCTACTGTTACTTTTACATTTAAAATATAAAGTAGGATAACTTACAAATCCAGAAGTGGCAACGACAGTTTGCGGGCGAGTTCTACCGCTAAAACTTCCGAGAACAGGGGAGTTGAATGAGTCTCCGTCGTAAACGTACACATAATCATACGAACACTCCGTTCCCATCAGAGTAAAATTGAGTGATATAAACTGCTCACTGCTGTTGGCTGTAAGTTTTAACATTGGTTATTGGACAATAAACTTTGAATAAAAACTTCATAACGCAACCTACAAGGTGTTGATTATCAATCTTAAATTTGCAACACAATCATAAATAATGTAATGTTGGTAAACATTCTTCATGTTCCTGAGTCTCTACAAGGCAGTTTTTATAACTTTATAATCATTTAAGACAAAACTGCATTTATTAGTAAAAAATAGGTCCACCCCAAATCCAGCTAAACGCTTTTGAAAATGTAGTGACATAGATAATAATAGATTACATAAATTCCCAAGTTAGCTACCAAAGCTCAAAAAACATTATTTTTGTAGCAGAGCCTTGCAGAATATATCTTAGTTTTAAAATGATCTAGTATTTGGCAAAGCGTTCATTCCCCACTAGCGTTGGATTCTTGAAGTGCAAAGCATGTGTTTGTGTTACTTAATTCAGTACCGGTAACTTAATTGTAAAATAGAGATAGGCCTATACTCGACAATCGCCGTAGTTTTAAAACGTGTTTACCTTTTATGAGCCACTCGCAGTGAGAGTTCTGAGTATAGTTGGAGCCTGGAGGTCCATCGGTGATGACACCCCAGGTATCCGTGTGAACTTTTCTTGTCCTATCACAAGGTCCTGAGCTTCCGCTGTGCATCACCGCTCGTCCCAGCGGCCCCACAACAAGCACCAACACCAGCAGAGGCCATTGCTCCATCACGGCATGCTTCAACTTGAGCCTAAATTAAAATATTGTGTGCATGAGTTAGGGGCCCATGCACTGTCAATATTAATCGTACAATATATTGCGCTATCTTATTAAAGAGCGACCATACTCAGTTCAATAAATTTGCGCAACCCACGGTTGAGTTAAAGTCGTCAATCCTGGTTTAGTTTCAGGCCAGTGACATGTTTTAGTTTAGTTATCATGTGGTGTGATTTTGCTGCAGCGTTTGTGATAATCCCATTGCTGAGGAAGCCAAAGAAGAGGAAAAGAGGATGGATGAAGGAGTGGTTGAAAAAAGGGGTGAATTTACTCACGAAAGACTGCTGAATGAGCTTCAAATACATGAACCAAGTGACATTCTCAGATTAGACGCAGAACCGATTTTTCTGACAATTAAGTTACCATTGGTTGAGCCTCATATTAAGAAAGTCGATGCAAGGGATGCCATTTAAGTGAGTCAACATTTGTTTAGGCCTATAACTTTATGCTATCTTGCTACAGGAAATTCTTTTGAAGATCTCAAATTCACAAGTTGCACTATTTGAGACATTGGCTATTGAATTGTTTAGAACAAAATGTTTACACAAAAACGACCTAAGTTACCTCGAGCAGATGAATTGGTAGACTGACAGGATATTGCGCAATAGTCCATTAACCCGGCTAGTCGGCATCAAAGTCTATTAATTTGCTTTACAAATCGAATTATTGCATATTGTTTTCTGATTTTGCTATCATGTCGTCATGTGTGATTTTGTTTGTTTAGCATCGAATGTAAACCGCTAAAAGCTGTTTTCACTCCACAAACCTTCCTCCCCTTTCTGTGTTAGTCGCTGCTAGAACTTGGACGCGTCCAAACCACTAATAGGCCTATCTGTATAGGTAACTCAACGAAACTGAAGCTTGATATTAATTATTTAACCCTCTATCTGGCGCTGGTCGATTTTAGACCACTAAAACGTGAGTTCTCAGTGGCGCTGGTCGATTATAGACCAAGATGACATGGGTCGGGTTTTTCTATTATTAAAATATGAAAACAGTTTTAAAACGCAATAAATCTTATACCATTAGAAAGATGAGATTCTGAGGATTCATTTTCATGCATAAAACATTATTCAGTGAGTATTATGTAGCGAGAAACGGTAGTTTGAAAAACTAGAGAGCTCAAAATAGATTTTGGCGGTGGAAAGTTTTGGTCACCTGACTACAAAAACAGCTGTTTTTGGCGATTGTCAATTAAATTGTATACAATATTAGTACATATTCTGAAACTACAATAAATTCCCTACAATTCCCTGTGAATCTATAAGGTTAATTGTAAAAATTTTATTTGTTTTTAAAAATGTCATAAATATTATGTTTTTGTAAAAAAATCTTCAAAATTATACTCCGACGTAAATTTCTCTGACATTTTAGAATTCAACTAAATATAACTATATATTTTCAGAAAGGTCTTTTTATTACCTATTGTACAGTATCATTTCATTTTTTGTTGATGCATTCTATTATTTCCTACGTGACAAAAAGAAATTTGGTAGTTTTTCAAAATCATACGTATGAAGAATTTATTTTTTTATAATTTTATTTTTATGAGTATTTAAAAAACATTGATATTTCTACGTAGGGAATCATATTTCACACAAACTTTACATTTAGATAAAATGTGTAAACAATTATTTTGTGGTTTTCTTGTGGGTTGCTTTTGAAATTTCTAATTTGCATAATCCAAAAATTTGCAAACCTTTTGCTACGCAACCTCCTAAACGCATTGCTAGAAAAAGAATATTTTTATATTATTATATTCTAAATTCATCACTGAAATAGAAAATATATATATGTGTGTACTTATATTCACAAATAAATGTTCTGTGGCAAAATATATGATACCACTACAAAAGCGCCAAAATATACCCGCCACTGGTGAATAAAATGACCGCCAGATCTATGGTTAAATGTACGGCCACTTAGGAATCTCTCCGACAAAAACTGATTGCATTTTCGGATTCAGGGCAAAAAAATTTTTAAGTAACTTAGGGTAAACTTAGACATCTAAAAATTACATCATATCCCAGTGTAGACATATTAAATAATTACCGCTAACCTATGTTTGATTATCTAACTTATCGGATCGATATTTTTTGATCGATAATACCATCGACAAATAACTTTGGCCTAGGGCCTACTTAGACCGTGGAGTCAGAAAGGATTTCAATTAGCCTTTATTTGAAACTAGTTCTAGAATAGCCTTATGTTTGTGTCATAAATAAGTACCATTTTAAAATTTACCATAGATTAAGAAGTTTTCACTAAGAAGTCAAATAAATTACTAGTTTGACAGAACCAAAACAATAAGGTTAGGTTTTCCACTGTAGCCTAAAATTATCAGAGGGAGAGATGACTCTGGAATTCGATCAATACTAAATTACTCATATTCCACACAAATGTATGGGGAATAAAACCGTTTGTTGGTATAGCCTAATGTTAACGAAAAAAAATAATCTAAGAGTAAATTAATTATCTTGCCCATAAAAACATTCATCCAACGTGACACTAGCCTAAATTGATTTAAAGTAGAGGGAAACAACTACACTTAAATTTACCTGAAAGAAGTTTGATGGTTCCAATAACACAAATTGTTCTATAATATCATCACACTTTATGTTTACTTAATCAGCAAACAACAATTTTAAATCTCCATTTCGCATTTACTCCAGAAGGACTATCATCGGCCATGAATCTCTGCATTTCGCATTTCTGATCCTGATCTGAAACTGACTGAACACTGAACTGACAGCGTGACGTCATGCATGAAAACAAAAAACATCAGTTCGAAATCACAGCTGGATGGCCATGTACTGCCATCTACGCTAATATCGTTGCGCTCGAACATGGCTCGTTGGTCTAGGGGTATGATTCTCGCTTAGGGTGCGAGAGGTCCCGGGTTCAAATCCCGGACGAGCCCTAAAATTTTTGTTGCAAAAAACTTGCACGAGAATTCAAGATGCGTTTTGAGCAGGCAGAAAGCTTTATATCATAACATTTTTTATAAAGAATCGATTCATTTATAAAAAAAATTATTTTAAATGTTGGCACAGTCAAACATGGTAGGTACCATATTAGATTGAGGATACTAAATTATTAATTTTATTCCAGCCTCAAAAATTTTGTTTGGTTAAAACCCAAAAACTAGTTAACAAACAAGGTGTTTTACTAAAAAGTATGGAAAAATTTGTATCATGCTATATAAATTGTCGGTTCAATTTCCAGAACAACTTTTTACCAAAAATTCTTGATACGATGTTGTTTATAAAACACAAATGTTTAGCCCACATATGTATAAGATCTTTAATTTTTTCAGTTTTGTATAAGAATTTGAATTTATTAAAAGTTAATTAAATAAATTCAAATGTGAAAAACACGTCCTTATCCTGTGGTTAAAATTGTACCCAAAATGTCTTGAAAAATCAAATGTATTTTTTATCTGTAATTTTGCATCCATTAAGATCTACAGTATTCAGATATTTTATTTTTAAATATTCAAATCCTGTTTAACACAACAAATTCTTCGGTAAGCATTACTCAATTTTAATATCATCAACTATCGAGGCACAACAGATGTTTATTTCCTCTAAAATACTGAAGACAACATTTTGACCTTTTGACAAGACAGAAGAGCTAAGGTGCAAGCAGACGTCCTTGTTTATATAACCAGGAAAGTTACAAGCAATAGTTCCTGAAGGTCATGGGACCATTTCCGGTTTTTCTCTCGAGGCACCCACACTCCATACAAACAACCATAATATTCCAAAGTACTACCCAAGTAGCATAACAATGTTGTTTCAATGTTGTTGTCAACATTTAATCAACATTAATTTAATATTGCCCCAATATTGATCAACGTGGTAACAATATTGTTACAACGTTTTCGTGAAACAAAATACATTGTCTTGACAATGTTGTCTTAATATTTTTCAACGTTGTTTCAATGTTGTTTTCAACATTTAAACAACATTCATTCAATATTGCCCAAATATTGATCAATGTGGTAACAATATTGTTACAACGTTTTCGTGAAACAAAATACATTGTCTTGACAATGTTGTCTTAATATTTTTCAACGTTGTTTCAATGTTGTTTTCAACATTTAAACAACATTCATTCAATATTGCCCAAATATTGATCAATGTGGTAACAATATTGTTACAATGTTTTCGTGAAACAAAATACATTGTCTTGACAATGTTGTCTTAATATTTTTCAACGTTGTTTCAATGTTATATGGAAATATTAAGCCAATATTAAGACAATTTTGAAAAAAAAATTTCGAAATTATCAATTAACAATATTTTGTTAACATTAACAGTATTTTGATTATTGTTTTTACAACATTGTTTAAGTATTTTTGTATCGGCTGTATTATCCTGTCAATATTAAGCTAATATTTTAAAAAATTCACAAAATAATTGTTAAACAATCTAAGTATTCAAAATACTTCGGCCTGCATAAATGCATAATAAAAATGTCAAAACAAAAAAAAACTCATTTTAGGTAATACTCTATTGACTGACAAAACTATTATTAATATATTATTTTATTCTTGAATAACAGTAGGCTATGCTATTTCATAAAATCTGCAAAAAGTATTTCTGTGGAATATTGTTGACATAAGTTATGTATATTTATTTCAAGAAAAAGGTAAAATATAACGCCACAATTTAAAAATATTTTGTTTATTCTTTCACAAAGCCCAGAATATACATTTTTTATAGAAGGTCAAATCACAAAAGTAAAAGAGACCAAAAAAACCAAGCGAACAAAATATTCTTATAATATATCAAATCTGTAAACAAAAGTAAATCACTTTCAAGATTTAAAAATTAATAACTGCAGGCTCAATGTATAGGCCTAGTGATTGTTGAAAAGTGTTTATATCTTCGCTGACATCTCCATAGGCCCGATTCTCTTCGACTGTAGCGGCATCCTTCCCTTTCCTAAAAAAAAGTCTTTGTGTCAAGTTTATTTTGCATGGGAATTGGGAGTATCTGAAAGTATAGAACAAGAACAGCTGCTATTTCATGTTGTTGAGGGTTGGATAGAGCTTATGAAGTACATCAGGCATGTTTGATCTATGTTCCACGCTCTCACAATTTTTATTTCAGCTAATACTGCGGTTTCATTGTGGACGAAATGAGAGTAAAAAAATGAAAAAAAAAATATAAAACCTAACCGTCATAAACTAACATAACTAACCAAACTTGCTAATAATATAAAAAGAGATATAAGATAAAAATCTAATGAAGGTTTACTACCTATTCGAAAAAATTGTTCTGTTCATAAAATAAAATTATAAATGCCTCAATTTCTAACAAAAAATGAAGTAATCACATTCTAAGCAAAATCTTTAACAAAAAGTTAGTGTCACTGGAGGGATTCAAACTGGATAACTCTTAGACATCGTTTGAGTACTCTATCCACTACACAACATCGATAGTTGAACTTCGTATCGTTGCGCTAATGGTGTTCTCTCAAGAGAAGAGAGTGACGTCAGACCGTGACAGCCAATAGAATGTTCTCATTTCGTCCGTATTGAAAACCGCAGCTGAAATAAAAATTGTGCCTCATGGCCCTGGCCCACTTTAAAATAACTATTTTAAGGTTAAACGTAGCCTCGGAGATTGTTAATGGTTTGCAAGGTCTGTAATTTAAATACTCCCTTTTCCACTATTTTCTCCACTGTCAAAAAATTTTTGCATATTACCATTGACTAAATTGTTGAATAGGAGGGCCTACTTGTATTAATAGCCAAATATAATACAAGACCTATATTAACCTATATTATGTATGAAAGGCATGTATTAAAAAATTTAGTTAGGCAGAGATAGAGTCAGAAGAGAGTATAAAGGCTTATTTATTTACTCTTATACAAGCTTCAAATTATCTAGAAATATTTTAATATTGCTATTTATTGCCTTATTTTTAGTTAATGAAAACAAAAACTCAACATAAACAATGCGGTAGGCTGTTGTAAAATTAGTCATTCGAGGAACGATTTCCTAAACATACAACAAAACCAAAAGCTATTTTAGCGAATTTCCCTATAGGGAAGTAGCTATTACCGTAGGTCTCATGGTAAGACTTAGGCCCGGGACCGATTTACTTTTTCATTTTAATGTCCCCAGAGGCCAAAAACACCATTCGTTCAAATTTTTATATATGTATATATATATAGGTATAGCCTATATATATATATATATATATATAGATTTATATATATATATATGTGTCCGTGAACACGATAACTTGAGTAGTTTTTATCCGATTTTGATGAAATTTGGTTTGAAGGTGTAAGGCGGGATAAACTTGAATGAGTTCGCGATCCAGCATGATCGGACCATGGGAACAGGGTTTTATGGGGGGTTTTATGGGGTAAAAATTGGGTTTTCTCACTTCTTACCCTCAAAACACGAAATTTCCCAATTTTTCTCTAAACCTTCTTAAAGAGCTTAAAAAAACAAACAATTCAGTATATCAAAGTGTTTTTGTACGGTTATTGGTTACGGAGAAAACTAAAAAAATGGTAAATTTAAAATGGAGAATATTGTAAAATGTTGTAGTTTGCTTCTTTATGGATATACAGGGTGATTGATATAAGTGTGCCAGCCGTTTTATTCGAAAACTATAAGAGATATCAAAAAAAGTTAAATGGTAAGTGCCTTGGATTTTTTATTTAAAAAATTGTAGTCAAGTCGAAAAAATTATTTTAGCCGCCATTCTTCCAATACGGCCGCCAGCTTTGATTTTTCTTACGGAACACCCTGTATTTTATGATGTATTCCGGTAGAAAATGTAATTTTAAGACAATTTTATTCTTGTTATTTTTTTCATAAACCTATCCGTTTCAAAGATAATGATGGTTTAAGTTTTGAAATTTTGGCATGAGAAAGTTTCAATAAAGGCCTAAGCAAGCATGCCAGCTGTTTTATTCGAAAATTATTGAAAATTTCACAACTTTAAACCATTATTATCTTTGAAGCGGTTAGGTTTATGAAAAAAATTACAAGAATGAAATCGTCTTAAAATCATTTTCTACCGGAATACATAATAAAATACAGGGTGTTCCATAAGAAAAATCAAAGTTGGCGGCCATATTGGAAAAATGGCGGCTAAAATAATTTTTTTGACTCGACTACAATTTTTTTAATAAAAAATCCAAGGCACTTACCATTTAACTTTTTTTGATATCTCTTATGGTTTTCGAATAAAACGGCTGGCACACTTATATCAATCACCCTGTATTTTGTTCAAACTTGGCAAATTTATTTATTTTATAGTAAGCTATCAATATTTTACTAAAAACACACTACTTTATTAGTTTCCTTGTAGCAGCAAACCTAGGTACTCGTTTAACCCAATGTTATTTAAATAGATCAATTGAAAATCAATTCGGACAAATGGAAATTCGCTTAGACGGCAGGTTTGCTGCGGCGGGGGTATTTTGCCATTTTATCAAACCGTATATAGGCCTACCAATATATTTTTCAAACCGGTAGTCAATATATTTCTTGGCTACCGTACTTCAAACATTAGGTGTCAGAGAGAATCTAACTTTATTTTTTTTTTTTTTTAGTGAAATGATCAAATTTGTTTAATCTTTTTAAGAGGTTGAGCAAATTTGCGTACAAAAACGCCACGTACTATCGGTTCAATAACGAAATAC